ATAAAAAAAATGTGAATTCATATAAAATCACTGTTTCTAAGACAACGCTCATAATACAGACATTTTTATATTATAGTGAGTGATTAGAAACTCTTGAAATTATTTTGTTGTTATTTTCTCTAAATAAATAAATAAATAATTATAATTGTGTCAAAAATGTCTATAATTTTAGAAAAGTTTCGCGTTTGTGAAACGATTGACATGAATATCAAACATGAAATCAAATTATTTCATGTTTTCAATGACTGGCGGGGAGAACAGAATATACTGTTTGTAACAAACAGTGATATAGTGTACGGTATGGGCAGTAATAACCGGGGATGTCTGGGTTTGAGTGACAAACATAATGTCCAAACACCAGAGATTAGTTGGGGACACAATGATTGCGGACAGTTAGGCCGGGATCTGGAAAGAGGTCAAGTTTGGAACATTCCTAAGAAAATTTCCGATTTAATAATGATGTTTAACAAAAATTACTTTTATAAATAATTTATTATTTGTACAAAGTTAATAAAAATATTTTTCTATTAAGTGCCGTTTTATCAGTAAATTAAGGGTTAAATTCAAAGCTTTGTTACTAGGGGATATTAATTGTGATAATTATTATACTGGAAATGTTATCAATTGAATCCTTTATGAAATTCATAACTCTCTCAGAAATATAAACCCATAAATAATATAATAATAAAAAGTGAATTCATATAAAATCACTGATTCTAAGACAACGCTCACAATACAGACATTTTTATAGTGATTAGAAATTATTTTAGTGTTTATTCTTAAAAATTAATTAATTAATTATAATTGTGTCGAAAATGTCTTTAATTTTAGAAAAATTTCGCATTTGTGATACGATTGACACGAATATCAAACGGGAAATCAAATTATTTCATGTTTTCAATGACTGTAATAATGAGAAGAATATACTGTTTGTCACAAACAATGAGTGCGTGTATGGTATGGGCGCTAATGGTGAGGGGTGTCTGGGTTTGGGTCACAATAATGGCGTCAAAACACCGCAAATTATACCCAAATTATGTGATGAAATGATCCGACAGTTTATCAATGGATATGACTTTGTGTTGGCCATCAATGAGGATAACCGTGTGTTTGGTTGGGGATCCACTTGGAGGGGACAGTTAGGCATAGGTATGACACGGAATCCTCTCAACTTAAAACCACAAGAAATCACATATTTGAATGACAAGAATATCACACAAATATGTTGTGGTTATCAGCACTCCCTGGCCCTCACCACAGATGGACAGGTGTATGGGTGGGGCTATAATAAGTGGGGACAAGTAGGTTGCGGTGATAACACAAATGTAATCTATTCACCAGTTTTGTTAAACTTTAAAACATATTATTTTTATTGTGTACCATATTATTATAAAATCAAAAGTATTTATTGTTTCACTAACTTTTCATTTGCCATTACTATGAATGGTTTGGTATTCACTTGGGGACAGAATTGTTGCTTTGACTTAAAATATAGTATCAAATATAACTTACCTCCCGTTATACAACCCAAACCTATCCAGATTCACGATATACAATCTATAAGTTCATTTAACGAATACACCTATTTTCTATCAAATAATAATTTAATATACAGATTACAGAGTTTTTACTATCCGGGTATTCTGAGACAAATTAAATTAGAAGTGTATGTCCAACAATTTAATGAGCTATATTCATATTTTTCAAATGATCAAGTTTTAATTCGAAATGATAATATTATTTGCACGATTGTTTCAGATATTGCGCCTGAATCTATTAATACAATAAAATATAAATGCAACAATTTAATTGATCATTATGCTAATGAATACCAAATCACTTATAATACTTTGTATATAAAGACCGGAACTATTAATAACCCTGATGAAAAGAAATCTAAATAATATTAAACTTTAAAACTAATTAATAATGGAAAGATCGATTTTAATAATTGAAATTTAATTAATCATTTTATGTTTCCAAAAATTTAGTGTTTAATTATCATTTAATAGCTTGTTTAATTTAATTTAATTTTTAAAATTTGTAAAATTATAATTATTGTACCCAAACAACAGATAACATGATTAATAAAATAGCCTTTTAATTTTTAAATCAGGTAATTCTGTATAAAATAATTTTGAATAAATTTAAATATATTTTTTATAACATTGACTATAAGTTTTAAAAAGATTAAAATTATTTAAATTTCTTTATTGTTATATAATATTAAAAAATTAAAATAAGATCCATATTTTCATAGCTATCTAATTATTACAGACATAAATGATATTACAGTACTGGTAAATGTTATACAGTCGGCAATCCTTTACATGAACCAGGTATACCATGAACTAATGTTTTGTATGAACAAATTCCCAAAACCAAAAACCGCACTGCATTAACATAATGTTAAAAAATTATGTATAGTATTAACAATCAATAGTATTAACTAATGGATACGGTTAACAACTTTTGATTGCAAATTGATATATTTCAATGCATATTATAATCAATAATATGAACAAAAAACTGTCACAAAAATATTAAAAAAAGTATTTCACAAATGCTTTGTTTTGTCTAATTTGTGAACACATGGCTAACATATCACTAATAATAGTCGCGATTTGGTTTTCATTTCACGCCTCAATACATTCCTCGTGATTACCATTGGATTCCTGTCGAAGACCGATCACTCATTACCACCAACTCGTGAGCCATATATTCAGGGATCAGTTGAACGATAACTAATTGGCTATTAATTAAATAAATTGTGCCCAAAATGTCTTCAAAACCGAGAAGTCTCTCGATTGAGACAAAGTATGAGATCATTAATAAAGTAAAGAGTGATGTGAAGAGAAGTCAAGTGATAAGTGACAATAATCTGAACAGTTATTCACATTTAACTGAATTAATGAAAAATGAGACAAAGATTATCAACACTTACCACTCGATGTCTAAGAAAATGACTAAAACTTTTCGTGCAAAGGATGCAAAATACCCGACTCTGGAAAAGGCTTTAATTGAATGGATGCGACAATTGAGGACAAGTAAAGTGAATCTAACCGGTGATCACATACTAACTAAAGCTCAAGATTTGGCCCAAAAAATGGGAATCGATTGGAAGCCGACCGTTGGATATCTCGAAGGTCTGAAGCGAAGAAATGGTGTGATTTTTATGAAATCCCACGGAGAAAGTGAATCAGTTGATCCCAATGTAGTCGAAAAGTGGACACAAGGACTGCAAGATATTATTCGTGGTTACAATCCTAGGGATCTGTATAATCTCGACGAAACTGGTCTCTTCTACCGACTCTTGCCATCGAAAACCTATGGTTTCACGAATGAGTCGAGACATGGAGTGAAGAAACACAAGGAAAGGGTGACACTTGTAATCATAACCAATGCTGATGGCAGTGATCGCATATGTATTGTCATCGGAAAGAGCGCCAAACCGAGAGCTTTTCGAGGAAAAGATCTGCCGTTAGATTATTATTCTCAACAGAATTCTTGGATCGATTCAGACATTTACTCAAAAATTGTCCACAAATTCAATGAAACGAAAGGGAAGAAACGTGTTGTTATTTGTCGACAACTGTTCCGCACATGTGTTTTCATATTTCTAAGTAATGTATGTGTTTCATAAAGGATTCAAATAATTTTGGTAGCATTTCCAATATAATAATTATCAAAATTAATATCTATTGGTAACAAAGATTTCTGTTGCCATTTAACTTAAGTATTTTAACCTCTTATTTACTGATAAAATGGCACTTAAATGGAAAAAAAATAATTTTATAAACTTTGTGCAAATAATAAATAATTTTACTAAATTATTTTATAAAAATTAATTTTTATAATACACATTAATGTATGTCAATGAGTTTAGAAAATAAAAACATTTTAGCCATAATGTAGTATACATAATTTAAATAAAAACATTAGGTTTCAAATTAAGTTATTTTATTGGCTATAACGTTATTTATTAATTATTAATGAATTTTTTGCAAATTAAAATATGCATAACTCATTAATCATTAATGATTAAAAATATAAGGTTGGATAATCTTAGTTTGAGATTAAAAAAGTTAATGAAATGAGGTCATGATGCTTTAGTTGATTTATTATTATCCCACAGAATATTCTTATCAATAGTCCATTCGTTAAATTTCTTCAAAGGCTTTCGGTTCCAGATATGGGATATCATTGACTGCAATATGTTTTGCAATTCATTTACTTTTGTGTTTAGGATTTCATTTCAAGAGTAAACGCTTTCAAAATAATATTATTATACAAAATGAAATAAATAAATTAAATTTTTATAAATTGAAACTTTTCAAAACCGCACATTACAACAGATTTTTACAGTTATTTCGGATTTATTTGATATATTTATAATAAGATAATATTTATATTGGTTATCATACAGTACTATTTGATAATTTATAGTAATATAATATAAAATACAATTATTAATTAATTTTATGGTTCACCAATATTACAGTTATTATTATTTCAACATTTTACACTTTAGTATTTAACATAATGTATTACAAATGGGAAAATGTTTTCATCTATTGATTGAAACAAATGTAATAGCATTTATGTTTGTAATAATTAGATAGCTATGTAGATATGAATTTTATTTTAACCGTTAATTTGTTGATAAAACAAAAAAAAAGTAAAATAATTTTAATCATTTTAAAAATTATTATAAATTTGTTATAAAAATATATTTTATTTTGTGATAAATTGTTTTATACAGAAGTAGTTGACTTAACAATTTAAAGCTATTTTATTAATTATGTTATCTGTATTAAATTGTTCTACATTATAATTGTTCACACTTTTAATTTAATTTGCCCCGGAATACTATACTTAAATAAATTAGTATATCGTGAATCTCTATAATAGGTTTGGGCTGTACTACTGGCGGTAAGTTACCTTGGATAAAATATTTTTCAATTTAAGTATTCTGTCCCCAAGTGAATACTAAATCACTTTCATTTATCACTTATCATTTCATCACATAATTTGGGTATAATTTGTGGTGTTTTGACGCCATTATTGTGACCCAAACCCAGACACCCCTCACCATTAGCGCCCATACCATACACGCAGTCATTGTTTGTGACAAACAGTATATTCTCATTATTACAATCATTGAAAACATGAAATAACTTGATTTCCTTTTTGATATCCGTGTTAATTGTTTCGCAAATGCGAAACTTATCCAATAGGGTTGACATCTTTGAACAAATTGATTATTTCACAGAAAAATTTTAAGTTTTAAAAATTATATTTAATATAAATATTTATATAACGCCAGACATTTAATAATAATTTAATTACTTTATAAGCAATTAATTAACTATAACTTATATTCTATAAGAGTCTAGACTTAAAATGCCTTATGTTTTGTAGTAATCGGTATGATAGCCATAGAAACTGTGATAAATGTTATATAAAGTAATATAAATGTGAGAAATTTATTAAAAAGGTTAGAAAAAATATTTTCATTTTCTACACAAAAGATTGAAGTTTCATTAAAACCAATTTATAATTATTTAATCTAATAGGAATTATAAAACTAAATTAGTGTAATAAATTTGAATTATACTGAATGGTATAATTAAATTATATAAATTATCATAACATTTATATTGAAAATAAATTATTGTATTAAATTATATATCATTGTTGTCAAGGATATGCTAGTCAATTTTATTTTAATCTTAATATAATATTTGTAAAAACAAACCTTCAATTAAAATACTTTTACTATTTATAATTGTATATACGGTATAATATCATATATATATTATAAATAGAATTAACAAAAAACAATTTATTCAAGATAATATGATTTCACTGTGAACAAATAAGAAAAATGAGTATTGTAGCTAACCATAAGTCATTATTGAAATTAAAATGACTTATTTTGCATTCCTTATTGAATGTATTCTCATAATCTAACAATAAATCAATGTTACATATTTAGGCATATTCTGACAATGTTCTTTCTCAATTTCCGATTTTATGAACTAACCAAGTTTTATGAACTATTTTGTCTGAACAGCCGAGTTCGCAAAACCTGGTTGTCAAGTTGACTAAATTCTAAAAATATTTCAATAAATTTACTGAAACTTTTAACTAAATTATTTAATTGTGATAATAGTATGACAACTTTTGTCATCAAAAATGTGCGATAAATTTAATATTTATTTTTATAGATGTTAAATAAAGTATTATTATTATAAGGTACTACAGTTTGAGTGTATTAAATATAATTTTTAATAACATTTTTATTGCGATAATTATTTTAATAAATAATATATTAATATTTAAAACTCTAAATTTCTCCTTGGAAGTTTACATTTTAAAAATAAATTTATCATGTATTGTTAACATAAAGATATCTGTTATAAAACTTAAAATATAATTGTACATATTTATTTTAATTTGCATTTTATAATTTCATTAAATATAGAATATTCATCAAATTTGTGTTCATTACTAATTGTATGAAAATCACTAATATGTGTTTGTATAATCTCCTTGCTAAGTGAGTATTTATTGCAGGTTTTCAATAGTTCATTGCACCCTGGTCTAATAAATGGCACGTACGATACCATTGATACAAACATTGCTAGAGCATTTTCAATATTCGGGTGAAGTGGCCCTATTTTGTATTTATCCAGATCGCCCTCTCTGAAATATTAATTCAAAATATGTTATAAATAAAAAATTATTATTATAAACATTACTTACTCTAAGGTTATATCAAACAATTCCATAGAAATTATACCCAAACTATAAATGTCTGATTTTGTCGTATACTTTGATTGATGCAATTCCGGTGCCATATATTTAGGAGTTCCCTTACTTTTAGAGTGACTCTGAGATGCAGTAATGTGCTCCACAGCTAATCCAAAGTCACATAACTTAACAAATCTACCGTTCCTTATATTTTCAGCTATTAAGATGTTTTCTGGTTTGAGGTCTCTGTGAATGATCTGTGGATTCAATTCATGCAAATACTGAACACTTTCTAAGATCTGACGGAATATTTCACATGAAATGAGATATTCGACACAATCCATGGCTTTTCCTAATTTTCTGGTTTGAGGTCTCTGTGAATGATCTGTGGATTCATTTCATGCAAATACTGAACACTTTCTAAGATCTGACGGAATATTTCACATGAAATGAGATATTCGACACAATCCATGGCTTTTCCTAATTTTCTGTCAAATACTTGTTGTTTTACTTCAAGAATATTCTGTAAATTATGTTCACATAACTCCATATGTATATAAAGTATATTCCCTTCAGTCCATGAGTTGTAATACTGAACACAATATTCCGAACGAACTTTTATTAAATTCTTCACTTCATTATAAAACCTTTGCAAGTATTCTTCAGATTCGTCTAATTTGTATTTCAAACTTAATAAACCTGTTTTATTTAGTTATCTATTTACCTTTAATCTCAACTCTCTTGATGGCATAAATGTGTTCTTCGAATCTATGCTTTACTTTAAACACAGTTCCAAAACCTCCTGAACCGATGGCCGACAACTCAATGAATAGACTTTTGTATTGACTTTTAAACATATTGTCTTCATTTTTAAAGAAAAGAATTTTTTAGCCAAATAAATAAAAACCAAAATTAAATTTAAAATATAATCAAACCTTCACTATTTAGAAATGCATTTAATAATGACTTTGATTTCGTTTGTATATTTTGATTTTCATCAGAATTTATATTTTTTATAAAATTATAGAAAAACTGATTGTCATTGGATTGAAGTATGCTTAATATTCCGTCAAATCGGGTATCATTTGCGAGAATATTCCTATCGATAGACCACTCGTTATATTCGGACAATACTTCACTGCATTCCGGCCTTCTGTGCCACAACCGGGTCCTAAACATCGATATTAGGATCGTTTGCAGTCGATATACCGGTTCGTTTAAAATTTGATATAATTCCGAATATACATTTGTACTATAAATTAAATAAATGTTAATATATTTTTGAAAGATTATAATAAAATAATCAATACTCTTCTAATTCTAGATTAAATAAATCAATTTCAAAAATATTTCCTCCAATTAGTGCCAAACTATAAATATCACATTTATGTCCGTATTTTCCTCCCTGAGAAACTTCTGGAGCTATATATCTCATATCCCCGACATCTGCGGTGTGTTTTTGTGTCGTCCGGTAGTGAACGCGTTTGTCGTGAACTGTAGCCAAACCAAAGTCACATAACTTAACAAATCTACCGTTCCTTATATTTTCAGCTATTAATATATTTTCTGGTTTGAGGTCTCTGTGAATGATCTGTGGATTCATTTCATGCAAATACTGAACACTTTCTAAGATCTGACGGAATATTTCACATGAAATGAGATATTCGACACAATCCATGGCTTTTCCTAAAGTGATTAATATATTTTCTGGTTTGAGATCTCTGTGAATGATCTGTGGATTCAATTCATGCAAATACTGAACACTTTCTAAGACCTGACGGAATATTTCACACGAAATGAGATACTCTACTGAATCCATGGCTTCACCTAACTGTCGACCAAATACTTGTAGTTTTACTTCAAGAATATTCTGTAAATTATATTCACATAACTCCATCTGAATATAAAGTATAATCCCTTCAGTCCATGAGTTGTAATACTGGACCACATATTTTGAACGAACTTTTACTAAATTCTTAACTTCCATATGATTTTTGATTTCATCTTCTTTACTAAAGTCTAGAAATTACAACACATTAACACAATTTAATTATTTTTGTGAAAATAACGAATTTTTGCAATATATATACTTTCAAACTGTATCCTTTTGACGGCATATATGTGTTCATCGAATCTATGCCTTACTTTAAATACTGTTCCGAAACCTCCCGAACCTATCGGATTGTCCGACAACTCTTCAAAGAAACTTTTGTAATGATTTTCACACGAATTGATTACTATTATAATTTATAAAATAAATAGATATTAAATTATAAATTTAAGTAAAATTACTAATAAATACCTTCATTAGAAAATGGATTTAATAACTGATTTAATTTTGGCTTTGGTTTCGGCGGTGGTTTTTGTTTTATATGTAGCGTATTGTAACTAATTTGGTGTTCATTGGCATAATAATCAATAAAGTTATCATAGTCATATTCCTTAATTTGATTCTGTGAAATAATCTTGACAATCTTATTATCATTTAGCAGTATTATTTCTTTTGCATCATAACAATATGAATTAAGCCCACCAAACTGCTGGATATTATGATTCAATTCAATTGGTATCGGGGTCAGTTGTATCTGTTTCATATCGCTCGTATTAACTTGGCATAAATATACTTCATTACTATTTGATAGAAAATAAATATAACAGCCGTCCCAATTATCTATTTGCCTGACTGATTTGATATTACTTAAATGTGGGATCAACCATGGCGACCAAATTTTTAAATCAAAATCAATAGACTTGTTAACTCCAATTTTACGCCATATGAATACCATATCATTCATAGTAATAGCAAAAAAAAATAATGATGAGAACAAAAAATATTTTTGATTTTATAGCTATGTTCAAATACAATCAAAGTCGGCGAACCCCTTGTGTCACTCCCTTCAGCATTTTGGTATTGTTCATAATAACTGCCCCACCCGTACACCTGTCCATCAGTAGTGAGGGCCAGGGAGTGTTTGAAACCACAGCAAATATGTGTTATATTCTTGTCATTCAAATCAGATATGACTTCCGGTTTTAAATACACGCGAAATGGTGTCGCCTTTCGACCGCACTGTCCGCAATGATTGTCTCCCCAACTGAACACATGGTTGTCCTCATTCATAGCCAACACAAAGTCCGAGCCATTGATAAACTGTCGGATCCTTTGGTCACACAATTCGGGTATCATTTGCGGTGTTTTCACTTCAATGTCGTGACCCAAACCCAGACACCCCTTACAGTTAGCGCCCAAACCATAGACTGAATCATTGTTTGTGACATAAAGTATATTGTTTTCGTAATATGAGTCATTGAAAACATAAAATAATTTGATTTCCCTTTTAATATTTGTATTAATCGTATCGCAAATACGAAACTTTTCTAAAATATAACACATTTTAAATAGTTTTGTAGAAATATTTTTTTAAAATTAATAAACTAGATTAGTAAAAGTTACAATTAAAATAAGTAAGATATTGCTAAGCCAACAATAATACTCAATATAATGTCAATTGTCTAGTTATGTTAAAATTGTTGTATTGGTAGTTATGTCGATAAGTTATGTGATAAGATTATGACTCACGCACACAATAAAAACTTTACTACTTAAATTTTTTGATAATATAAAGTCACACAATAAATTATATTTAAAAACAAATTTACAGTATAATCATAAAGTTATTTATTTATTAATTTGTATTATCATTGAATTTGTTTAAATTATTAATGTATTACTAAATTTTTCATTAGTTTTGAAATGAATAAATATTTCAAAAATTAAGTGTTTTTTTACAGTCTTATAATACTTTTTATTATTGTACATGTATATAATAAATATTTCAAATGATAAGCAATGAACATAAGGTTTTGTTTTGTTATTTATCTAATCTAAGTTAATATATAACAATAAATAAAAATAATTATTACTTTTTTCGTATATGAGCCCCGGAATGGCAAACTATACGTGAAGTATGTGGTGAACGGTAGGAATCACGTGTCAGTGCCCATGCATTTCTTTAAGGTAGCCAGGGTAGGTTTTCATATTTATAAAAAACACAAAATTTACTCGATGTTTTTTAACGTTAAGATTGTTTTATTGATTAATATAAAAATTTAAAGTTTACAATTTAAAACTTATACTTATATTTAAGTATAGAAATTTAATACAATATACTGTATTAT